GTTGATCCGAGAGGCTATGCAGTAATTATACTATATAAAAAAATATAAAAATTCAAAAACACTCCTCCGACATTAGTTTTGTTGCTTTCTTTCAGAAATTTTACTATGTAATAAATATATAAAAATACAATTCTACCTCTAGATGTGTGCTCGTTTTTTTGGTCATGAAGGGCTCATCATTCGTTTTACTATGAATTGCTCTTGGTTAACAGATCTCAGAAGCAATTGAATATCAATTTTGCAATAGAAAAACTCAGTCAATGAAACAAAAGAAGTTTGATAACTAAAAAAAAATCATTTTTAAAATCCAGAATGATTTGTTCACGGGAGAACCATGTTTTCTCCACAGTAAAGCTACCATCTCTTCTAGTTTTTCTATAATAACAACAATATTATGCTGCGAAAGGTAGGAGCTCAATTGTTGCCAACACTATCTTGTTTATATGGGTTTTGTCCGTCTGATTTTGTATTTTAAAATTATTTAATTTTTTATTTTAAATTAATAATTTTTAGTGTTTTTAAATCATTTTAATACATTGATATCAATAATAATTTTATAAAAATAAAAATAAAAATAATTAATATATTTTTAAATAAAAAATACTTTGACAACTATATCAATCAGCCTCTTGACATAATAAATAACGTGTTTAATATAAATATACATCATTTTTTATAGATAAAAATATAAAATTTTACATTAAGAATCTTAGCATGGTGGTGGGAGGAACTTGTCTCCTTTCACTGCTTCTAGATTCGAGTCCTCATTTGCAAACTTGTCATCCTCGCGGTGCTTCATATGCCCATTGAGTTTGTAAGATGTTCAATGAATCGTAAAATTAGTCATGATATACACAAATTAGTCCGAACATCCATATAAATAAAAATAAAAAAAAACACAAATTTACAGTGAGCAGAAAAGAAATGAAATGACTGTACCAGGAATTATTTGATCATCGATGATCTCAGTTGTTTTAAAAAAGAAAAGAAAAGAAAAGAAAAGGCAGCCATTCTCGTTTAGGCAGCCCAAACAAACACAGTGGTTGTCCACCACTGTCTGTTTGGGCCTACCCCAAACAGAGTCCTAAGCCTCGGTCCTCGTCGATGAGTGGATGTGAGGACACCAAACAATATTGTGTGACGACTTCTAAGAAGCCAGTGTGACGCCATCTGATCGTCGATTTTGGAAGTAATTGCAGCGTGAAAGATTTTCACTGTACAAGTCTTCTAATTAATCCATGTATGTGAAAAGAATATTCCCTTAATTGTTTGCTAAATGCGCGGTCTTTGCTCTTTTAATTGCTCAGGAATCAAACGATTTCGTAACATCATTCTTGACCCCCTCTGTTTTTTTAGTGTATAGAATAGTTTACATGTATTTTAATTAATTTTTTAAAATTTTAAAATTAATAATTAGATAAATATTTAATAGTTTTAAAGCTTATAACATTTAAATTAATCTAAAAAATAAATTTAAAAATTGATTAATTAAATTTTATTTTAATATCATTCTTAACTATTAATCAGATAGGGTTTAATACTCACTACTCCCAGTTCCATTCAATAAATTTCTAAGCCATGTAACTTTAGTGACTAATATATAAGTAATTATTTTTTAAAATAATTTTAATTTAAAAATATATTAAAATAATATTTTTTTTATTTTTTAAAATTTATTTTTAACATTAACCTACCAAAACCATAAAAAAATAATTCAAAAGTTCAAAAATATTTTTTAAAAAATAAAAACAAACAAACTTTATTTGTCCGGCTACCCATACCCACACACACACGGACGAATTAAAACAACCCCTCTCAACCATTATATTAAACGGTCTCCCCATTATTTATCTAATCCCCTTTATTTTTCTCCTCTTCGTTATGCTAACTCAATCATCACATGGTAGCATGGTCTTCTAATTTATATGATTAATTTATATTAGAAGACCATTCTTCTAATTTATATCTTCGGCTTTTCACGGCTGCTTGTGGAGTTGAATGTTTGGGTTTGACTATTAAACTTTCTCCCCATCATTTTAATCCTGTACCATGCATGATAAGCCTCGTAACTTCGATTTATAGTAACATCTGATGTCTTTAATTATACAATTAATGTTTTCATCAAATGCTACCATTTGTTATTACATTTTTGCCTACAAGTGAATGAATGGGCTACATGTCAAACACAAATATATGGAATTATGAGCATTGACACGTCATAATTAAAGTTAAAACGATCAAGATTAAAAAGTTTAGGGTACCATATATTTATTCTTCCTACACTCTCGCCAGGCTGCTGCTGTGCTTGCAGGGTCTAAACAATTACTCAACTTATGTACGAGCTCATCATTGACAATCTCAATTTGCTAACAATCTACTACTAATTACGAACGTCACGATTTCTTGTTTAATGGAAGGTACAATGGACCTTAAACTCCATAGCAGGAGTGACCATTGTCCGATTCTTGTACCCCCCGTCAAATACTTTCCAATATATTTTTAGGAAATTAAATGCTATATTTTAAATTAACCAATAAAGACACTTGTAAGTATTAGAAAAATTGTTAAAACATGATTAATGAATATATTTAAGATTAAATTAAATTAGAAATAACGTTTTTTTTTAAAAAATTTTGTTGGAGTTTAATCTGTAATGTAAATCTTTTAACATAGAATAATACTATTATGTTTTAAACAAATTATAATGAATGGTAAATTAATATCAAATAGTACTTTGTTTATATGATGTTTTAATAAAACTCAAATCCCTTTAAAAGATCTATATTCTATATAGAAAAAAAATAAAAATTTCTTACTATTTATAAAGTGGATAATTGAAAAATTAAAATTGAGCCTATAAATCACCCAAACCTTTAGAGATGAGAGATCCTAGATAAAGTATGCTTTGGTTGTATAATAATATTTTGGGCCACAAAAAAATAATTTTTACTAACTTAAATCTGAACTGGAGTTTAGTCTATATAAAGAATTTTTTCTTTTAGTCCATAAGTAGCCTCTTCTGAAAGCTTTTATTGCAAATCTGGATAGTTTTTTTCAACTCAAAAAATTCAAATTTATAGATGACCAATATGTTTAGATACTATTCTTGGTTTATGGTAGATAATTAAATATTAATAATGGTGGGAACTAATTTTGATTGATGCCAAAATTAATTCTTCAATTTGTTAATTTTCAAAATCTACTATAAAAAAAGGAGGTGAAAGAAGAGTTTAAAATATTGTTTTTAAAAATTTTACAATTTCTTCCTTACCTCATTTTTAGTGTTTTTCTTCTTTTTTTATGCTTTAGCTTTCTTTTCAAATCTAGAGTTTATGTTTATTTTGTTGAGAGATAATTAAATCATTTTACTTTAGTTCAAAGATTTTTATTTAAAAATGCATCTAAATCAAGGTGATGGTGTTGTAATATTGGAAGGCATATTGAAAATATTCTAGTTATACAAGTAAGGAACAATAAATCATTAAGGATAAATGACTCATTTTACAACAACAAAAAATTATTACTTTAAAATGCTCTAATAAGTAGGTATTATTTTTTATTTTAATTTAAGTATAATTATTAATTATTTTTATTATTAGTATGCAGGCTAGCTAGGACTTTGATTTTATATCAATTTTAAGTTTGAATATATATTAATTTACATGTTAGTATTCTTTTATTATATTTGTCTTGAAAGTATGCTTGTTTTGATTTTGATTTTTATATTTTTATAGATTTAAAATTATACGCACTCTAGACTTTCATTAAATAACTTTTTTTTTTATGTTTTATATGAGATGGTATACAAAAAAAAAATCATTAAAAAAAACTTAAATTTTAAATTATTCTTGGCCTAGTCCCAACGACTAATCTTTTCAGTTGTCATAAGCTACTCACTCAAGTGCCCATAAGTGGGCAACTATCATGGTTGGCCCTTTTTTGGGCAACCACGACAATAGGTCACCTATTAGGCAACAAAATTGATTGGCCTGGCTGGCTTAGTAATCAAACAATTTTTTTTTCTCTCTTTTATTTTTTCCTTTATTTTCTATTTTATTTTTTTAACAAATAAAACTACATGACATGTACTTTATATACTATTTTATGAATTATTGTAAGATATTTTTATATGCAGCAAACACTTTTTATGTCTTGTCCACACAAGATTATTGTAGGATATGTGTCATATTTTATCACCAATAGTTACTTTTTTGTACACTTACCACCCAACATGAATGCCAATAAGAGCTTATTTAGTATTGAGATAGCAGTGACAGTTCAAAGTATTTTTCACTTAAAAATATATTAAAATAATATTTTTTATTTTTTAAAAATTATTTTTAAGATTAATAGATCAAAATGATTTGAAAACATAAAAAAATAATTTTTAGCAGTTTCAACCGTGTTTCCAAACAGTATCTAAAAATAAATATATTTATGGTGCACCAACTTCTCCTTCAATCATATATCATGCACAAAACCCATGACAGATCACAACTATTAATGAGTCACTATTGTTTACCAATGACATGATTTCCTTATTGAAGAAGAAATTTGAAGGTAGGTACTGTACAAATACACTTGGTCTCAACAAGTAAGAGGATCGATTTCAGTCTTAGTAAGTAAGAGGATCGATTTTTTTTTTTACAAAGCCAAATAAAGGAATGAACCCATACATGCCTAGAACATACCTTTACCTTTCCTTTTCTATACATCATTTTTTTCTCTCCATAGGTACTAACTTAAATATAAGAGAATCTATCATTCGACATAAAAAACTTGTTTTTTTTCAGAAATTCCTAGCTCATATGACCAAATTTCATATGGAAACCCCAAAATCTTTTGTGTGTGAATTTTTTTTACTATTTCATTAGTTTATGATAATAAACTAAATTTTACTCACTAATAATCAAATATATTTGCATCTTTGAAAAAACAGCACATTATAACTACATAAATAAGTGCTTTTGACTATATATTTATATATATAGCACGAGTAAAATAAAATGTGAACTATACTGTCATGTGACAACAATATCTCATAAATCCAATTTTATTGGACAATGGATATGGGAGAGTTTAGCTGGAATGATGGGATTAGATCAGAGTCTGTTAAGTTTAGAGGAGGTAGGGAGAAATGACTATAAGTAGAGCTGCCTCTTCTAATTTCTTTCATGGTCATTAGAGCTGTAATTGCATTCCTAAAAATTTCTTCTCCAGCAACTGTTATTGTTTCTCTTCCTTTATTTCCCTTTTCTTCTTCCTTTACTGGGAAGACTGCTTCTATCATGTTTTCGCATTGCTTGACAAGCTTTGATATGAGATCGGTGATGAAAAAAGGTTGCTCCAATACCTTTTGAATGAACGCACAACGTAGTAATCCACCAGTTCGCTTGTCATATTTTTTCAATATCTTGGCCAATCCTGCATATATAAACTCGTTAACTCTAGTTAATTTTAAAATAAGTTTATTTTACATTTTAGTCATGTTTCCACAATTAACACAACACCATATGCCAATCTTTAATGGGTTTGTTATCAAGGAAACTGGCAAAGAATCTGCTCAAATCAAAACAAAGCATGTGTAGCTGAAAATCATGGAAAAGATTTTGCCATTAACATTATATCTGGAGCTGATTCTAAACTTGAATTCTGCAGTTGTACATTATAATGGGAACATAGTTTTAGTATTACCATTTATATGTTTTTTAAACTTGCTTTCTCACCACTGTATATATAGCATAAAAAATTTATCAATAAAGGTGCGAGAAATTTATTCATTGAAATAACAACAATGTCTAAATCTTATATGGTATCAGAGTTGCTAATTTCTAACAAACAACCAATCTAAGACACCATAATGTCATTATCCTCCGATCAAAACCTACACTTTACCTTTAATATCCAACCCCCTTCCACAACAAATAAACCACTCATTACTTTCAATATTATTGCACGAATCAATGAAAAATTAATCCCCTCCACCTTTCCTTAATGGCGTGCTTAATTTCAAGTACTCCTTATTAGTTATGATTTACTCGACTATGTCAAAGGCACATTTTTGTGTCCCTCCTCCTTTGGAACCGCCACTAATGAGCTCTGTAAGATTTACTAGGTTTGACAGGACAAACTTATCCTGAGTGCCATTTTAGCCTCCACATCACCTTCAATCACACCATTTATTGCTACAGTAAAGACATCTCATGAAGCTTGGAAAAAGCTAAAAAATCTACATGCTAGCTGATTAAGAACACGTGCTATGTAGTTAAAGGAGGAACTCACCTTAATCCAGCATGGACATCGGTCAATCACAGAATATCACGACATTGTAAAGACCATGGTTGATAAAATAGCCATTATTGATCACTCAATTTCAAATAATGACCTAACTCTTTATGTATTGAATGGCTTAGGTTTAAAATTACAAGAGATTGTAACGCCTATTCGAGCCTGAGAATCATCACTAGCCTTTGAGGAGCTGCATGATTTGTTGGTGAGACACGAGGCATATCTGAGATGATTGGAAATAGCAACGCAGCAACTGGTAGCTCCCGCTAACTACACAAAGAGGAAACATTCTATGTATAGAGGGAATCAATAGTGATCCCTCAAACCAAATGACAACCATTTTTTTTTTAATTTAAAAAAAAAAACATCTCAACCAAATAGCTTAAATTTTTAGATGAGGTCCTAAGATATGATTTATATTGTTCCCTAACACACCTCTTCAAGTGAAAGCCCTTTGGGCTTGAAACTTGCACAAGTCCATATTATCTTATGCTTAATTTTTATCAAATAAATAGAGACAGTAAGATTCAAAATTATGATCGCTTAGTCATCAATGTTTTGATACCATGTCAAAAAACCATCTTAACCTAATAGCTTAAGCTTTTAGCTAGATGAGGTCATAAGATATGATTGGGTTTAGAGATTTGTCCAAACCTAACCATGTTTACAGGTTAAACAAGGCCATTTATGGGCTTAACAAGCACCAAGAGCTTGGTATACAACACTCAAAACTGCTATCTTTCAGTTGGAATCTCACAACTCCAAAACAGACTCTTCTCTATTCATTTACAACAATGAATCCAATCTTTGTTACTTATTGGTTTATGTTGATAATTTTATCATAACATGGAATAATCCAACTGTTGTGACCACTATTATTTAGTAGTTAGGAGACACGTTTTCTTGGCTCTCTTCACTTCTTCTTGGGAGTTAAGGTAATTCCTACTTGGGCAAACTTATTCCGCACACAACACAAATATGTTCATGAACTTCTAGCTAATACCAACATGAGTGGTGCAAAAGATATCTCCATACCCCTATTTACAACACAATCACTTCAACTGGTTGATGGCATTGCTGTTGTGGACAACATATAATTTCATCGAATTATAGGTAACCTTTAATACCTCTCTTTGACATGACCAGATATATCATTTGCTATTAACAAACTCTCTTAATTTATGCATAAGCCTATTGCAACTTATTGGGTAGCAACCAAACGGCTTTTGTGATATTTAAAACAAACAATTTTTTATGGTATTCAAATCCACAAAATTGGAACTTCAATTTTAAAAACATACTTTGATGCCAATTAGGCTGGGAATATGGATGGTCGCACGTCGAAGTCTGCATACATCAGTTTTTTAGGATCTAATCCCATTTTGTAGATATCTAAGAAACAAAGAGTAGCTACACGATTCACAACAGAGGCTGAATACTGGGCATTGACCAATGTGGCCTCAGAAACAATATGGTTGTCCACTCTTTTCAAAGAACTTACTTTTCCAATCCAAGAATCTTCTCTACTGTTATGTGAGAATCTCGAAGCCACACACCTCAGCTTTAATTTAGTGAACCACTCGTGTATGAAACATATTCAAATTAACCTTTAATTTGTGTGTGATTTAGTACAATAAGGAAGTCTTTAAGTCCGACATGTACACATACAAGATCAACTAGCTGATTTGTTAACTAAGCCATTGTCCAAACAACAAATGACTGTCCTACGTAACAAGGTTGGTCTTGCCGATGAAAGCTTAATATTGTGGGAGTTTATTAGGGAAACTTGTAGAGAATCTACTTAAATCAAAACAAAGCATGTGTAGCCAAAAATCATGGCCAAGATTTTATCATCAATGCTATATTTGAAGCTGATTCTAAACTTGAATTTTGTAGTTGTTCATTGTAATAGAAGTATAGTTTTAGCATTATTATTTATATGTTTTCTAAATTGGCTTCCCTACCACTGTATATATAGCACACAATATTTATCAATGAAAAAGCGGGAAATTTATTCATTGAAATAGTAGCAATGTCTAAATCTTATATTTAAGCTTGGACGCTTTCTCCTTCCACGCGGAGGGGATGGTGGTGGGTTTTTGTTTTGTTTTTCTATGTTCCAGTTTTACTAGGTTTATGTTAAAGTTGAGCTTCCAACATGAGACACTTCACCCCTTTTATTTATGCAAGATTAATACATAGCTAAAAGCTTATTGACTAGGGGATAGTAAAGTTAAGTGACTTTTCTGCCATTAGATTACTAGATCACATTGTGTGGGTATAATTTATCACAAATGTTTAATAAATCAAATGTTATTAGCTTTTTTCTAGAATTTAATTGATCTTTAAAAGATGAAATTGAGCTTGCTCGGCAAAAATCTAAATACCTGTGTAATTGATATTGCTGTAATTCTCCAAAAGCACCATCTCACCATGGAAGTTGACGATTTCTACTCTAATCTTACCCATCTCCTCTTTATACTCTGCCTCTGAAGGCTGTTTTGCACTGGGCCCCCAAGCATCAATCACTTTCTGAATCCGCTGCTTTAACTCCTGCATTTACAGATTTTCTGTAATTACTTCGCTGGCCCACTGTTGCGGGTCTTCAAAAGTTGCTATAGATTTTTCTCTTATAAGGTTATTTTATATATACATTCATGTTGCGTCTAGTATCTTGGTATAAAAAAATAATTCAGGATTCCCATGCACAAGGTTATTTTCGAATATCAAATATCTTCTTCAAGACATAAAATGTTAAAGAGTTATCAAAGATTCGAGAGCGGCGTAATAAAAATTGTTCAAAATACGCTAGTCTTGGAAGAATGCTGTTCGACAACCAATCATAAAAAATTACATGGAGTTTTTTTATGTAGGATCCACACTCATGAATTTCATAGCCTTCTTTAATTGCTCGTGAAGCTGTTATTTCTAAATTTCATCAAGATAAAACGTTTTTATTGGGTCAACTCGGTTGACTCACCAGTTTTCAAGAAACCTTTTGACCTCATTTTAGAACTCTAGTTGATGATCAATTTCATTATCTAACCTGACAAGTATAACTAACATGATAGCTTAGTAATTTTTTACTCAACTTACTTTGCCTCCCTTAATTACCCACCAAAACTAGCATGGATATCCAACTTCATATCTTCTCTCGTACTTCAGTTTGAAAGAAAGCAAGAAGAGGAAAAACTGGTAAAAGAAAGAAGAGCTTACCTCATGCCGGATAATGAAATCCTCTTCTTGTTCCATGAAAAAAGCATTGAACTTGTCGATTTCACAATTCAGCAAACGCACAAACTCAGCCTCCGACTTTCCATATTCACTCGATCCATTCAAGAAAGGTGGTGCCGATGAAATCAAACGAACAAGCTTCTTCAATTCCTTGTAAGACAAAAACTTGTCACGCCAATCTGGCAAAGTTTCTTGGACTTGTTGCTTCAATCTCTTACCGAACTTCATTGTTATGTCTGAAACTATGTGTCTCGAAAAATCAACTCCTAATACTTTCTTACCAGAGTTTCAAAAATGCAAGGCCAAAAAACTGGAATTGTAAAGAGTGTGTTGTGCTGTGGGAAAGAGATGACTTAGCTAGTGGGGGTATTTATTAGCAAAGGAGTAGTAGAATATCGGAGGGCATATGCTTGGCGTGGTGAAGTGAGGGTCAGAAAAGCTATGTGAGGAGTCGTTGGGGCATGAGATTTCGAAGAGCATATTCGGTTACTATAGTCTCGGCAAAGACCAGATTTATGAAAAATTACTTTATGGTATGTTTCTATATTAAATTTTAGCAAATGGGACAACTTACTGGGTCTTGAGGTTGTCTAGTTTATTTTAAATATTTTCATCCATTTAAAATGTTTTAAACTTTTATTTTAAATATTTTCATTCATTCTATCTTACCTGCTAATTTTTATTGTTAATAAAAAATGATTTTTATTTTTATAAAAACTTTATACAAATACATCTAATTTATAAATAATATAAAAAAATAAAACTCATTATAAATCAAACTAATCTCTTTGAAATATCATGCAATTAAAAAAATTAAAAAAGCACAAAACTTACTCAGCATAAATAATTAATGGAAAGGAATAAAAAAACAAAGAAAAAAATTAGACATTGACGGCCCAGGCCAGCACCTATTTGTTTTTTTTATTATTATTATTAAGCAGGCAACCTGTTGCCAATTAAGTTGTGTGTCTATAATTTAGCACCCATTATGTTAGCTAAAAAAGTAGGATTGAAGTTTTTTTAGCATGAAAATCTATTTTCAACCAATTCTCACCCCAAAATACATGATAAATACTATAAATTTTTTTTATAAATTACTTACCAAACAAAAAATACCTCAAAATCACTTAAAAAATAAGTGAATAAAAGAAATATAAATGAAACCCAATTTATTAAAAAATAAGTGAATCAAAGAAATATAAATGAAACCCAATTTATTGTTTTATGTATGTTTAAAAAAAATTACCACCATCAAATTTTTTCATCGAATAAAATTTATTAATATTAACATTTAGCGAGTTTTGTTGCTAAAAAAAAAGCTATTTCTTAACTTTCCTTTTTCTTTGTTGTTTTATATGAATTTTTTTTTTTAACCTGGAGACTAAAATATTAAAAGAATATACTCTTTTTTTTTTAATCTGGAGACTAAAATATTAAAAGAATATACTTTTGGGTGAAAATTAACATTGTAAAAACTAAATGGATTGTAAAGTAAGAAAAAATAAAATAAAAAGAACTTAATTTTTCTAGCAAAATTGATATGGATAATGAGATTTTTTTTTGTTTTACATTGTGGTCATCTATTGTTGATTTTTTTTTCTTAACAAATTTTAATAAATTAATCATTAATTTAGATATAGAAGATTACAATTAAAAAAAACTTAGGATGAAAAAAAAACGTTCAAACTATTGTGAATTGTTGATGTATATTACTTAGATATTTTAGTATATTTTTATAATATAATTGTGATTTTGGCATCTTTTCCTTAAAAAAGAAGAAGTACGGAGCAAGAACGTCTCAATCCAAATATTATTATTTCTATTTGTGTTTTTGTCTTCACTCGTCTCAACTCTTAGGTGAACGACTGAACGTCTCAGCTTACACGTGCAAACCCTTGCTTTTTTCCTTTCCAATATCCGCTTTCGACGTCCTGTGTCGTTTCTTCCCTCTCCACATTTGCCGATGAGATTCTTCATTTTTTATGGTCAAGAATTTAAAATTTAAATACTAATAAACTAAAATTTAAAGATAAAGCATTAGAGATGTAAAGTTAAAGTGTTAAGCATGAGAAATATTAAGGATATTTGATAAAAAATGAAAAAAATAGTGATAAAAGTGGATCCTAATATAAATCAAATCAATGTTGAAATTAAATAAAATTATAAAGAAGTGAATAATATTATATTTGTGACCCAAGATGAGAAGTATAAGAGAAGATGTAATTAATTAATAGTAGATTTTTTCTTCAATGTTCCATTTCCACCCCTATGGTTTTTGAGTTTCTCACTGCTGCCCTTCTACTATTCAAAACATTGTCATCCCCACTCTCCAAGAGAGTGTAAAATTTACCCTTAAAATGGCCAAAAGTGGGTTAAATAAAATTTTAACCCCTAATTTCTATTAATATTTTGTCCAACCATTAATAATATTTCAACTATTTCTCTCTTTCCATTAACCATTTATCTTTCAATTTGTTAACATATCTTTAAAAATTAATTTTTATACCCTTAAAGATTGTTCTTGAAATATTTCATCCTCATTTTTTAATCTAAAATCAAACGCCACCTAAAGAAAGAAAATCAGTCTCTTTCTTATTTTTGTTCTCTCTTTTGTGATGGTTCCACAAATTTGTGAAAAAAACGTATTTCTTCTTCCTCTTTTCGTTAATCCAAGTTCGAAGCTGTGGCATTTGAGATTTAAAGGGGGAAAAAAAATAGTTTGAGTATATAATTGAAGAAGAACGAGAGATCTTGTGAAGAACAATAGTCTTATATGCTCTTGATCGCAATTAATCAGAGCTGAAGGTAAATTAGAGGTCGATGCAACATTCTAACTCGCTACGTGAAAAAATTCCAATGTTTGATCAAATCATACCAACTTGCTCTTCCATGAATACAAATTGCATGCTGATGGACAAAATCCAGACCCCATGATGAAATTAAAAGAGAAAAAAGCTTCGTCACAGGAAATTACGTGAAGAATCCTCCAAATTGTACGAAACACCCCAGAAGGGTGGACTACAAGAAAAACAAATTCATGTTGGAACAAAAAAGAACAATAAATAAGGAGCTGACAAGAAGCTCTTGTCGTAAATGTTCTCTTTCTTCTGCACAAATTGTGTAAAATAGTACATGAAAGCCAGGGAGAGGAAGCTCCTTGCACCACCCACCCTTGAACTTACGTATTTAGAAGTTATAGCTGAAAAAAACATTATAATTCTTAGTTCTAATAATTTAACAAATATCATCATATCTGAATCATGAGCAGAGATAGAAATCCCCTTTCTCTATCAGAGTTGTCAACATAAAACTACACCATAATAGACTCCACACTAGTGGAATCTAATCTTTCCACTGGCCACACCGATGCCCGTGACAGCAGGAGATGGCAAAATGCAACTAACCCTATTAATGGCCTAATTACTCTCTAAAAATTATTTCCTGTGCGGTGAATATTGCATCACAACTCTTTTATCTTTCTACAGACTACAAATATGTATGTATTAGTGGATCTATGAGTTGGATTAACACCACTTTCCCTTTCTTTTAGTTTTTTATAATAATAATCTATAATTACATTAAAAATAGCCATTTAGTTAAAGACAAAAAAACTGGAGTCTGATACAAAAAGGATGAACCGGAAAAAAAAAAAAAACAAGTAAAAAAAAAGAAGCTAAGTTCTAGCATAGTTCAGCAGTCTGAACAATCCAATAACAGATCAAAACCCATTCTCACAGCTAAACACCAACAAACTCTCCACACAAACCACATTAACCTAGCCCAAGAACTACCCAAACCCCCCAAAACACAACACACACACCGAAAAAAGAACAAGTCGAAGAAAAGATCCAGTTGGAGAAAACATCCAAAAGCAAAAGTCATCTATCCAAAAGCCAAAACCCATAAGAAATGACCGCTTGAAATCACATAATTGCTAACATGCTGCTGTTAGACCGAAAGCGAATACCATCTGCAGTTCAAGCTAGATAATTTCTTGTGTAGCTGAAGGTGGGTTTGGAAGCCCGAATCCACTGGCATAGCCAAATCCGCTTGAAATCACATAATTGCTAACATGCTGCTGTTAGACCGAAAGCGAATACCATCTGCAGTTCAAGCTAGAGTCATATATAGACTCTCAGTCCGGCACTTTACCCTCAGAAATTAACTTATCACGCGCCACCCAAATAACCCAGAAGATGCCATGACAAAGCCAAAAAACTGCCTGACACCGAAACTGACCTTTTAGAAGACTACCATTCTGTCAGGACCAATCCACATTAAACTGAATACAACCTTGAAAGCCAATCCACCTAATATATAATACTTGTCCATAACCTCTAAGTAACATGGCAGTGAAGAAATAAATGATCAATACTTTCACCCTCAACATTACAGGAAGGACACCGAGCATCTTCCCACCTAATAAGTCCTCTGCTAGCAAGGAAATCCCGAGTGCTGAGACTACCATGAAGTAGTAACCACATGAAGACATCAATTTTTGGAGGTGCTTGACAATTCCAAAGGATATTAGGAAAGGAATGTTCTCCTGGAGACAAAATACAATAATAATAAAAAAAATTGGTGCCTGATTTTGTTGAATATGCAACCGAGGTGTTGTGCTTCCACAATTTTATATCCTCGCTACCATGTAAAATAAAATGCCCCTCAACTTCAGCAATTAGAGACTCACGCAAATCTGATTCTCTGTTCATCAGGTCACGACTCCAGCTAAGATTAAAGCAGTTATTAGCTGGACAAAGTACCGCACAAACTGTTGCCTGCTGTTGATTTGAGAGACGGTAAAGTCTCGGAAATTAGGACTTCAATGGAGCAATGCCACACCAACAATCCTCCCAAAACCTGGTTGTCCACCCATTACCAAGTTTGAAACAAACGCCGGAATTGAGAGCTGCAATTGATCTTGCTGAGGAAAATGAACTCTGAATAGCACGCCACGTAGGGGATAGATGGTGGTTAAAGGATGGAAGGCCGTTGCTAAATAATCTCCAGCCACCCGCCAACATTTCAACTATCAAGGTGCCAAATCCACTTGAACATCAAAGCCAAGTTTTTCCCTTGTAAAGAACCGAGCCCCAACCCTCCAGGATCTTTCGGTTTAATAACCTTATTCCATGCAACTTTACACATTTTACTGACGTTTGAGCTTCCACTCCAAAGAAATCTCCTAAGGATCGAAGAAATTGTCTTAATAATGCCTCGGGAAATTAGAAAAACAGACATAATAAATTGGCAAAGAGCTTAAAACAGACTTAATCAAGCAGATTCTCCCCGCCATACTCAGCAAAGATCCTTTCCATGATCCTAGTTTGACCCGAATAGATGTTAACACCGGCTTCCAGGTCGGTAATCTGCCCGGATTCACACCCAAAGGCAAGCCTAGGC